TGTAAAGAAACGGCGATGACGTGGCATTTGGAAATGCGGAGAAATGAATGAAACCCTCCGTTTCGGGATTAAAAAAAAATAAAACAAACAAACACAATAGATATCTCAGAGGAACTAAAAATAGGAGCAGCATTTTTCCACTGGGGTCTGACATTGTTTTTCTATGCATGGGGATGATTGGAATAGGATTTTAGCTCTGGCTCCAGAGGATGTGGAAAAATAGACCTTGGGAACGAGCTCCACTGGTATGGGAACCCTGGTATTTATGACGAGAGTAATAATCGTAAATGAAAGCCCTGCCGGCGGCGGGGAGGGGGTGGGGTGGGGCATCATGTAGGTTTGAAGCAGACCTGGCTCCCGACTGGTTCCATCCCCGTGACTGCCCTCTCTTGGAGTCTTAGCACCTTCCTCTTGATCATCCCTCCCCTGAAATGTGTTTCTTTTTAAATGTTTCAATTAGATCTTAAATGCTTTTTAATATCCACCTGGTTCGACATTTGGAAGCTGAGTCAGTGAAAGTTCTCCTCACAATCAGGACCTGTCTTGAGTGGTCTTTATGGTCTCACAGTGAGCAGAATCTCTCTTAGACTTTCTGTCCAAGGCTGGGATCACAGCTGGTATTGCAGAGGGAGGAGGAGGCTGAACCAACATTCTAGAAGATTCTAGAAAATCCCACCGCTCCTGAGCCATTGTTTAACGGAGTAAGCAGTAGCCTGTTCACTGCAGAAATGTCCTTCTTTGATTGGTGGAGAAGGGCTCAGGAGGAAAGGGAAGGGATTGAGAGGGTGAAAGGGGGACTGGGATGTAAGATGCTCTTGACCTCCCAAGGCCAGGCTTTGTTGGGATGAAACATTTTCAGGGAGGAGGGGAAGCAGGCACATTCCTGCAGCGCTAGAAGGGAACTGCAGCCAATCATAGGGTGTCAGAGAAGGGCTGCCCACTGGGTGGCTTCCTCGTGATGACTTTCCATTCAGGTGCGCCAGAGCCCAGGAGTCAAAATTCCCTGAGAGGGAAGCCCTCAAGGAGCATCAGTTCTTGTGAAGGGAGGTAGCTTCCCTTTCAGAAAAGCTGGGTTTTTCTTTCTTTCCCAATACCTGTCCAAAACATACCCAAAAAAGGAGGGAAGTAGGAAAGCCCTAAACAAGGCGTTGGAAACATTCTCTGGAGAAGGTAAATGGCATCACCGGTTTTGTTTTATTTACTTGTTTTGGGTTAACTCTGAGGACAAATGCTCCTTTTCGCGAAACAGAATTTTGTGTATTTAAACAAGTGGACGGTGTTGCTTCTGAGAAATCCCTCTTAGGGCAAATGGATTTGATCCTTTGGAAGGTTTGGGTAAGTCCTTGTGCTTCCGTGCGATTAAAATTTCAGTTCACTTTGGACCGGTCCTTAGGAAAGACCAATCATTAAAAAAAAGGTTATCCTGGTTGATATAGTAGAGAGAGTCAGCAAAAGTGAAGGAAACTTTCAATGAGATGGATTGACACACTAGCCAATGGACTCAAAATGACTAATTATTGGGAAGATGGTATAGGACCAGGCATTGTTTCGTTCTGCTAGGCATAAGGTTGCTATGCCTTGGAACCAACTCACTGGCCTTTCACAATAACAACACGGAAGCAATTTGTGTTGCACAGTTTTCTGTCACTAGGCACTTTTCTGAGGGAAACTCAAAAGCTTCTCTATAAACTCAGAACTTCTGTAGAACTGTGTTCAGAATTCAGGGTTTTGTTGAATCTTCCCCCAACCCCCGACATGTATAGAGACCTATTTTGGTGTTTTACTCTTTGGCCCGGACAGGGTGCCTCCTCAAATCTCCCAGATGTCCAAGGTTATTCTTTGTAGATGAACGCACTTAACCACTGTCCTTCCTCCGCATCGGGATGTCCAGGGAAGGGCTGTGGCAAGAAATGGTTAGGCAGCATAAGGATTTGCTAGAAGGATTGGGTTTTTCTCTAAGTGACATGCTCAAAGTGAGACCAAGTCAGAACCTAACAGGATTAGACGTCTGCAGCAACTATTCAGCAACCTCAGGCCATGTGTAGCTATTGTGAACATGAAAATGGAGCAGAGTACAGGATTGTGTTGATTTTTTTCCGCCTCCGATTTTGAGAGACCTTTAAGAGCACCTATGGACTTTGCTTATTCACAGAGGGTGTGCTAGTTACCCTTCATGAATGAGGAAACGAAGATCTGTCTTACCAGGAAGTGTTGGCCCAGGCATCTGTGCATCTTGGGTGTACATAAAGGACGTAACCTCTCGGCTTTCCTCAGGATCAACATCACTGTCATCCCTTGTGCAAACAGAGTTTGGTTTATCTGCCATTGTAAATTGGCTTGGTGGGTCCTTGCGGACACCTAACTGTGATGTCTTGAACATCCGACTGGCTTCTGAATTGCCTAGTGTCACACTTCCTGGACTGGTCTAGCTTTTTGGAAACACACAGGAAATACCTGTAGGTTTGGCAAGTTCTTCTCTCCCCCTTCCCTCTTCTCCACACTTCTATTTGGAAAGTGTTCATTTAGCATTTGGGAACCTTTAATCATACTTCCTCTCAGTTCCCTTAAACACACTCAGACTTTACTTTTTCCCCCCTCCCCTTTTGGACTTTACTTTTGAAAGTAACATGGGCTCATTTCCAATCAGCTGACTTAGCACTATGTCTAGTCTTAACATTTGTCATTTTTTTCCTAAAAACCCCCAATTTTTTTTTTAATGCATTGGGCTGCTAACTGCAAGGTCAGCAGTTCAAAACCACCAGCTGCTCTGAGGGAGAAAGATTAGACATTCTACTGTAAAGAGTCACAGTCTCAAAACATGAGGGCAGTTCTACCGTTGTCCTGTAGGGTTGTTATGGGTTAGAATAGACTAGATGGCACTGAGCTTGGTTTGGAGAGACATTTCCATAGTGCGACTCCTGCAAATGTAAGCCAAGTCCTGGAATAGAATCCGATTTTCTTCATCTGAACATCTTTTTCAGATGTCATTCATTCATGTCATCCCTTATTGCTGACTCATGGCAACCTTCTGGGACAGGGAAGAGCTGCCTCTGTGGGTTTCTGAGACTGGAACTTTTGACTTTCTTTAGGGGTGGCAGTGGGAGGAGCAAGGCTAGAAGCAGAAGGGACATTATTTGAAATACTCAGAATATAGTTTAACATCTATCAATACTGCTTTGAATGTCCGCAGTTGTTCTAGGTCCTGGTGGGAGAGTCATGGAGAAAATATCGTTGTCCTCTAGGAGTTTATGTTCTAGTTGAAAGGAGACAGACAATACGCCAACTTAATAATTGATTTGGTATATTAGAACATGATCTTTGCCTTGAAGATTAAAAAAAAGCACACCTGCAGCATTGGGAATGTTTGCGAGGCTAAATTAAACTGGCCACAGAGCAAAGCCCTGAAGGAGCTGAACTGGCAACTATGTAGACAGCTGGGGGAATAGCGGTCCAGACACAGGAAACACAGCCTGGGCAAAAGCAAAGGCAATGCCCCCCCCCCCCCCCCACACACACACACTGCCCAGAGTGATGATTGGGAACTAACTACAAGCGCAGGTCTGTTCAGCATTGGATGAGGTCAGAGATGGAAGGGGAGGGAGCAGACCCTTTAGGCCCTAAAGAGTCTAAAGTTTAGGGCTTTAGCCCTAAGGTTTAGAGCATTGTCTAGTGGCTTTTTCTGTGATGGAGTAGGAAGCCCCAGCGGGTTTCAATCCCAGAGTGGCAAGATCTAGATTTACCAAACTCAGCCTGGATGCTGGATTAAGATCAGGTGGCAGGTGTAGAAGTGAGGCCACTGCAGCCAGACCTACTAGAAATGAATCAAACATTTGATTTATTTACAAAAAAAGGGAAGAAAATGTGCCTGTAGCCTCTTTTTGTAAAGGAGCCAATTATTTTTTCAATGCTTATGTTGCGAGAAAAAGGTCAAACTGACAGCCACTCTGTCACGGGGAACTAGACCTCCGGACTCTTTGCCCCCCAGAGTGGACTATGAACTTAGCAGGGCTTTGGCCGTGCAATTGAAAATGTACCTTTATGGAGTGGCTTGGGATGCCTACGCCTTCCCGCATCTCGAACTTTACCAGGATGCTTGTTAAAAACAGACTTCTGGCCTTCTCCCTTTTAATAAGTTAGGAATGGACACGGAGAACGTATATGTTCAACACGAATGTGCGATACACTTGGGGCTAGAAAGTTTAGGGAATTGAACCTCGACGGCCGGCAGGTGGCGCTACGTGACCGCAAGCCGAGGACCGCAAGCCAGGTAGGGGAGACCGGCGCGCGAGCCGGTCCGCCGCGGTGCACCGACCACCGCTAGCCCCGGAGGCGGCTGCGCGTGCACACAGTTGGTGAGAAGGGGCGCGCGCGCAGCCGTGGCGAGTGCCTGGGCTTCCTGTGAACTTGGCGTGCGCCTTAAGCCGTCGCTACTCAACGTAGCTTCTCGGGCACGTGGGGCAGGAGGGCACAAGCTCTCTGTACGCGCATCGAGCCCTTGGTGGCCAGCAACTCCGCGCAGGGAGAACAGGCGGCCTCGCGCTACAGGGCGTCGGTCCAACCAGGCCAGCAGCGGACGCGGGAGATCTACTACTGAGTCCCCTCGGCGAGCGCTAGCCCCGTGGCCGGCTTCTTTTCATTGGCTACCGGGTCTGCGGCCACGCCCCCTTGCTGGAGTTCTCATTTCTGATTGGCCGTCGAGCTCTGGCTGGCCACGCCTCCTCTCCTCGCACATACACAAGAGTCACGCGCTTTTCAGTTGGAAACCTGGCGTGCTGAGGAGGACGGTGGCAACCCCTTTCCCCACCCACTGCCCTTGCCATTGGTCCGAGGCGCCGCTCGAGGCCACGCCTCCATTCCAGCCCCCTGGCTGGGAGGCCGAGCCCCCGCTCGTGGTTGGCTCGCCGGGCTGCCTCTCGCGGGAGCCGCTGGCCCTCCTCTCCCTCCCCACCCCCCCTCCGTCGACCCTAGGGGTTCCTCAGCCGGCCGAGGCCGGGCCAGTGTCAGTCAGGGAGGTGGACCGCTGAGCACTGGGCGCGACGCTCCGTTGCAGCTTCGCCCAGGGCCCGGTGCTTGCCCTCGTGCCGCCGGGTGGGAAGGATGAAGCCGCAGCTGGAGCAGCCAGCCCATGATTGGCTGTGGCGCTTGTGAACCCGAAGTAAAGATGGCGGGCGGGCAGGCAGCCGCCGCACTGCCCACTAGGAAGATGGCGGCACGCCGCAGCCTCCGCGCCCGCGGCCGGGGGGTCCTGCAGGCAGCGGCGGGGCGGCTGCTGCCGCTGCTGCTGCTGAGCTGCTGCTGCAGCGCGGGCGGCTGCGCGGCGGCGAGCGAGAGCGAGGAGACGGTGATCATCGGGTTGCGGCTGGAGGACACGAACGACGTGTCGTTCATGGAAGGGGGGGCGCTGCGGGTGAGCGAGCGGACCCGGGTCAAGCTGCGGGTGTACGGGCAGAACATCAACAACGAGACGTGGTCCCGCATCGCCTTCACGGAGCACGAGCGGCAGCCCCACAGCCCCGGCGAGCGCGGGCTGGGTGGCCCCGCGCCGCCGGAGCCGGACAGCGGCCCCCAGCGCTGCGGCATCCGCACCTCAGACATCATCATCTTGCCACACATCATCCTCAACCGCCGCACCTCGGGCATCATCGAGATCGAGATCAAGCCGCTGCGCAAGATGGAGAAGAGCAAGTCCTATTACCTGTGCACATCGCTCTCCACGCCCGCCCTGGGCGCCGGCGGCCCGGGCTCCGCCGGGGGCGCCGTCGGGGGCAAGGGGGGCTCCGGGGTGGCCGGGCTCCCGCCGCCCCCGTGGGCCGAGACCACCTGGATTTACCACGACGGCGAGGACACGAAGATGATCGTGGGCGAGGAGAAGAAGTTCCTGCTGCCCTTTTGGCTGCAGGTGATCTTCATCTCGCTGCTGCTGTGCCTGTCGGGCATGTTCAGCGGCCTCAACCTGGGGCTCATGGCGCTGGACCCGATGGAGCTGCGCATCGTGCAGAACTGCGGCACGGAGAAGGAGAAGAATTACGCCAAGCGCATCGAGCCCGTGCGCAGGCAGGGCAACTACCTGCTGTGCTCGCTGCTGCTGGGCAACGTGCTGGTCAACACCACGCTCACCATCCTGCTCGACGACATCGCCGGCTCCGGCCTCGTGGCGGTGGTGGTCTCCACCATCGGCATCGTCATCTTCGGGGAGATCGTGCCCCAGGCCATCTGTTCGCGGCACGGCCTGGCCGTGGGCGCCAACACCATCTTCCTCACCAAGTTTTTCATGATGATGACCTTCCCCGCCTCCTACCCGGTCAGCAAGCTGCTGGACTGCGTCCTGGGCCAGGAGATCGGCACCGTCTACAACCGGGAGAAGCTGCTGGAGATGCTCCGGGTCACCGACCCCTACAACGACCTGGTCAAGGAGGAGCTGAACATCATCCAAGGAGCGCTGGAGCTGCGCACCAAGACGGTGGAGGACGTGATGACCCCGCTCCGGGACTGCTTCATGATCACCGGCGAGGCCATCCTGGACTTCAACACCATGTCGGAGATCATGGAGAGCGGCTACACGCGCATTCCCGTCTTCGAGGGCGAGCGCTCCAACATCGTGGACCTCCTCTTCGTCAAAGACTTGGCCTTTGTGGATCCGGACGACTGTACCCCCCTGAAAACCATCACCAAATTTTATAACCACCCCTTGCACTTTGTTTTCAACGACACCAAGTTGGACGCTATGCTGGAAGAGTTTAAGAAAGGTGGGAGATTTTCGTTTCTCGCATTGGCTTGCTTTTTCTTTTTCCCGCTTGCTCCCTACAGGAGCCCTCCACCCCTCCGACCAACCCCCCAAGGCGAGTTGACCGGAATTTCTCCTTGGCTCTCTTAATTGTAAAGCTGAAAGGGCGGCGTGGATTGGGGACGGATTGAACTGGGAAGCGCTCCTGCCGTCACTGGCGGGGTTTCTTTCTCCGTCTTCCCCCCGCTCCGCTAC